AATATTAGACTCACCAGTTGATGTGCATTGGACACTTGGCATGATTTGTTTACTTTTGAACTTTGGTAAAAATCGAACATTTCTGCTACTTTGAGCTCAATTTTGAGGTACTTTTCATTGTGAAACCAATCAAAATCATCTCAATTTCTATAATATGTCTTCCATTCTATAAAATGAGACCAGGAAAACTAGAATACAACGATAAATACCATTCAAAAGTACGGTGCAAAGTCGCTGTTTTAAACCAAAAACATGGTCAAAGTTTTTTTTTTTCTCATTATGCACTGTGTGCTGCAGGATTTTTTTTATACTGTGCAGACTGACCACATAGACCCATTTTTTCATATGTAGGCCTACCAGCTTTCTCTTGCTAGATCTGAAGGTGCTAGAATTTAGGCGTGCTAGTATGTCAATAACCCTGGGGCATAAGCTGTGCTAGTACGTCAGAAACCCTGAAAGGGTTAAACTTGAGCTGGCACTATGAAAGTGCCAGAACACATTTGTTTTGGGTAAATAACTGTGCACAAATCTTTGTCTGCCCATCAGAAATAAGAATTTTGAATTCATTCACTTTGCAATATGTTTATGACAAAACTTCAGTTTAAGAAAAACTTGTAGAACCTCTGTATTTTGATTCAGAGTTGATATTTTTATCATAATTAATGACTGATAATTGAGTCCTTTAGAGAGATTCTTTGGAGTGGTTGCAAAAACTGGTGGATGAATTTAGAAGGGTAGGTAAAACCATAAAATTAAAACTGAACATAAGAAAGAACAAGGTGATGTGATTAACAATGTGTAGACAGTGAAAGATTGATATTAGATTGAAGGTTGGGAGTATGGAGGAAGTGAATGTTCAGTAGTCCTTAGAGTTACTATGGCCTGGAGTTGTGATAACATGAAGTTATGATTTACCCTCATTGAGAAATTTTATTTGGAGTTGCAATTAGAAATTAAAGATAAAAGATTCTTTCAACAAACCGGCTATCCCACTGAGGCAAGGTGACCCAAAAAGAAATACTAAAGTTTCTCTCTATAAATTTAGTAATTTATATACGAGAAGGGATTACTAGTCCCTTGCTGCCAGCAGTTTAGTCGCCTCTTACAGCACTCCTGGCTTATGGCGGAAGAATTCTGTTCCACTTCCCCATGGATATAAGCAGAAATAAACAAGAACAACTAGGAAGAAAATAGAAGAAAACTCAGAGGTTTGTATATATATGCTTGTACATGAAAGTGTAGTGTGGCCTAAGTTTAAATAGAAGTAGCAATATACTTGAAATCTTGCACGTTTGAGACAGAAAAAAGACACCAGCAATTCTACCATCATGTAAAACAAGTACAGGTTTCCATTTTACACTCACTTGGCAGGACGATAGTACCTCCCTGGGTGGTTACTGTTTACCAGCCTACTACCTAGATAGAGATAAAATATGCATACTAAAGTAAAGCTCTTGTGGATCACATCCTGAGGAACAAGTTTAACCTAAATTGCTTGAAATCCTGCATAACCAGGGACTTTCTATATACAATAGTATGCCAGTGATGTTAACTAGGTCTGTAATAGTTGTATCATATACTTTTAGAAATATAGATTATCATTATGATGGTGAAAAACTGCTGATCCAAGGAATTAGTGCTATTTTTCCCTTCCAGGATCTAACCTCATCTAATTCATACTCTCAGATGTACACCTTTCTCACTCTTGTTACATTAATGATGGTTACTTGGATAAAAGCAGCAGCAGTGATTGTGGGAAATTATGGGGATGAGATTCACAGGCACATTCCTGAAATATTTCATCCACATAATTTAAGGGGGGGGGGGTTTACAACTAAGAACCAATTTATTGGGGTAGGTTTAAAAATGTAGTGTTAGAGTGTTCAGCAGAAGTTTGTGGTTACAGGAAAGTGGGTGCGGGAGGGAAGAGGAGCCATTGGTGGAATGATGATGTAAAGAGAGTAGTAAGGGAGAAAAAGTTAGCATATGAGAAGTTTTTACAAAGTAGAAGTGATGCAAGGAGGGAAGAGTATATGGAGAAAAAGAGAGAGGTTAAGAGAGTGGTGAAGCAATGTAAAAAGAGAGCAAATGAGAGAGTGGGGTGAGATGTTATCAACAAATTTTGTTGAAAATAAGAAAAAGTTTTGGAGTGAGATTAACAAGTTAAGAAAGCCTAGAGAACAAATGGATTTGTCAGTTAAAAATAGGAGAGGAGAGTTATTAAATGGGAGAGTTAGAGGTATTGGGAAGATGGAGGGAATATTTTGAGGAATTGTTAAATGTTGATGAAGATAGGGAAGCTGTGATTTCGTGTATACGACAAGGAGGAAAAAACATCTTGTAGGAGTGAGGAAGAGCCAGTAGTGAGTGTGGGGGAAGTTCGTGAGGCAGTAGGTAAAATGAAAGGGGGTAAGGCAGCCGGGATTGATGGGATAAAGATAGAAATGTTAAAAGCAGGTGGGGATATAGTTTTGGAGTGGTTGGTGCAATTAAATTTAATAAATGTATGGAAGAGGGTGAGGTACCTAGGGATTGGCAGAGAGCATGCATAGTTCCTTTGTATAAAGGCAAAAGGGGATAAAAGAGAGTGCAAAAATTATAGGGGGGTAAGTCTCCTGAGTATACCTGGTAAAGTGTAATGGTAGAGTTATTATTGAAAGAATAAAAGTAAGACGGAGAATAGGATAGCAGATGAACAAGGAGGCTTTAGGAAAGGTAGGGGGTGTGTGGACCAGATGTTTACAGTGAAACATATAAGTGAACAGTATTTAGATAAGGCTAAAGAGGTCTTTGTGGCATTTATGGATTTGGAAAAGGCGTATGACAGGGTGGATAGGGGGGCAGTGTGGCAGATGTTGCAAGTGTATGGTGTAGGAGGTAGGTTACTGAAAGCAGTGAAGAGTTTTTACGAGGATAGTGAGGCTCAAGTTAGAGTATGTAGGAAAGGGAAATTTTTTCCCAGTAAAAGTAGGCCTTAGACAAGGATGTGTGATGTCACCGTGGTGGTTTAATATATTTATAGATGGGGTTGTAAGAGAAGTAAATGCGAGGGTCTTGGCAAGAGGTGTGGAGTTAAAAGATAAAGAAATCACACACAAAGGTGGGAGTTGTCACAGCTGCTCTTTGCTGATGACACTGTGCTCTTGGGAGATTCTGAAGAGAAGTTGCAGAGATTGGTGGATGAATTTGGTAGGGTGTGCAAAAGAAGAAAATTAAAGGGAATACAGGAAAGAGTAAGGTTATGAGGATAACAAAAAGATTAGGTGATGAAAGATTGAATATCAGATTGGAGGGAGAGAGTATGGAGGAGGTGAATGTATTCAGATATTTGGGAGTGACGTGTCAGCGGATGGGTCTATGAAAGATGAGGTGAATCATAGAATTGATGAGGGGAAAAGAGTGAGTGGTGCACTTAGGAGTCTGTGGAGACAAAGAACTTTGTCCTTGGAGGCAAAGAGGGGAATGTATGAGAGTATAGTTTTAACCAACGCTCTTATATGGGTGTGAAGCATGGGTGATGAATGTTTGCAGCGAGGAGAAGGCTGGAGGCAGTGGAGATGTCACGTCTGAGGGCAATGTGTGGTGTGAATATAATGCAGAGAATTCGTAGTTTGGAAGTTAGGAGGAGGGTGCGGGATTACCAAAACTGTTGTCCAGAGGGCTGAGGAAGGGTTGTTGAGGTGGTTCAGACATGTAGAGAGAATGGAGCGAAACAGAATGACTTCAAGAGTGTATCAGTCTGTAGTGGAAGGAAGGCGGGGTAGGGGTCGGCCTAGGAAAGGTTAGAGAGAGGGGGTAAAGGAGGTTTTGTGTGCAAGGGGCTTGGACTTCCAGCAGGCATGCGTGAGCGTGTTTGATAGGAGTGAATGGAGACAAATGGTTTTTAATACTTGACGTGCTGTTGGAGTGTGAGCAAAGTAACATTTATGAAGGGGTTCAGGGAAACCGGCAGGCCGGACTTGAGTCCTGGAGATGGGAAGTACAGTGCCTGCACTCTGAAGGAGGGGTGTTAATGTTGCAGTTTAAAAACTGTAGTGTAAAGCACCCTTCTGGCAAGACAGTGATGGAGTGAATGATGGTGAAAGTTTTTCTTTTTCGGGCCACCCTGCCTTGGTGGGAATCGGCCAGTGTGATAATAATAAAAAAAAAACAATGTTAGCTGTACCTCAGAGTTAGGTGGGATTTTAGAGACACTAGGCTGCACCATGACTCTCCTTTGAGACCCCTACACACACTTCCCCACCCACAAGTATATTCCAGCCTATGAATGTTAAAGTTATATAAAAAAAAATTAATACCAATAAGGCTGGTAAATTATAAGATATGTAGACTGTATAGGTATTGTTTGTGACCTGAATGAATAAGATGTTGAGTCCACTACATATGGTATTAACATTATAATTGAATATGGTGAATAAAAATATACAAATATTAGAAGGAAAATTTATATATTAACACTTACCACCTACATCACAGGTGGAGCACACCCTAACGCTTCCCTCATAGCTAGAAATTATGAAGGCCAACGTAAAACTACTGTAATTTATGGGTGAGCATTTCTTATCTAAGTGTGCTGCAGGGAGCCCTGGCATCCTCCAGTTTTTTCTTCCTACCACTCTGTTATAGCAGTTTCCCCCAAAATTTATCCAGATTCTTTTATGGGGGACATGTCATTACATTTAATTATGGATTAAGACCAATCCATACAGATCTGGTCTCGATGATGCCCATTGCTACATTGCCATATTGTCAGTGTCTCTTTCATGTATCACTCCATGGCTGCTGCATAGCCCCCTTCACTCTAAACTTCTAGAAGCCCAAATCAGAGCTTCAGTTTTACACATACTATATTATTCATACTTACACATTCTAAATTTGGGAGAATTATAAAAAAAATTCCACATTGATGGTCAGACAGTAACTTAATGTGGATATAGGCAGCAGCAGTGATGGTCAAACTGTAACAGATTGTATAACACATTTGAATCTCTTCTCCACAGATTATTAAATTTAGTTACGACGCATTTTGGTTCGATGGCCTCGTCGACGGTGAGAAGTTTTAGTGTAGACAAGCTTCCAGCTCTCTTGGTGATCACACGCACAAGAGGCACTATTGAAGTGCTATCTGTTATACATGGTATGTAATTACCTTTATCATTTATTGACAGTATTCTTACATTCATATATGTATCTTTTCTTCTTTCAACAAACCAGCTGTACCCCACCAAGGCAGGGTGGCCCAGAAGGAAAAACGAAAGTTTCTTCTTTTCACCCTTTCACTGCTGGTCCCATAATATTACAGCTTGCAATCCAGTGTCAGTCCCATAATACTATGCCAAAATTCTAGCGGCTTCAAATCTAGCGAGAGAAAGCTGGTAGACCTACATGTGAGAGAATGGGCTTGCATGCTTTAGTGTGTGCAGTATAAAAAAAATCGAGGAGCCAGTGGTGCATTATGGAAATGCCATTTCAGTAGGCCTTGTTCACCATGCCTCGTGGCAAGAAGTACTCACTCCCCAGTGAATTGGGACTTTTCTCTTCCCAAGTAATAGTTCTAACACAGATGAAAGTGTCAGCGAAGATGAAGTTCATGATACCAGAAATAGTGCTGAAAACCCAGACGACCCTCAACCTTCCACCTCTGGTACTGTCCCGTCTTGTTCACGTTCAGTTGTACCAGAGCGAAGGAGGAAACTCATATTTTCCCATATCTACACTTCATATGTGATTTCCAAGCTCTTGATTGCAATTCCAGTAGCGACAGTGAAGAGGAATATTCTCCATTGAAGCGGCAATTTATACAACGCTACATGCATTCTGGTAGTGTGCCATATGCTATTCCAAGGGGAAGAAGTACATCTCAAAGTACATCCCTTGGCCCTACACTAGGAACAGATAATGAAAATGACGATGATATTGTTACAGTTGGGATAGATAATATAAATGCGGCAGCAGGTAGTGGTAGTGGTGTTATGCGTCATATGGCACCAGCGGCACCCCAGTCATAATGCTTACCCCAACATCCTTTTCCTTAACCCTTTGACTGTCACAAGCCCATTTCGCAAAATTTTTGGAAAAAAAAAAATTCTTACGAAATGATAGAAAATCTTTTCCCGATGGTAATGACACCAAAAGTACGAAATTTGATCGAAAACTTATGGAATTACGCTCCCGTGAAGTTAGCGATCTCGGCGATATATATACTTAGGCAATTTTGCCAACTTTGAGCCCTATTTTCGGCCAATTCCATTGTTCTAATCGACCAAACTCATAGCTTTTCTTTAGAACTTCATTTTTTCTATCAATTGAGTATGAGAAACTGCCCATTTACCAATTTCAGCTACCCAGTAAAGTGGTCAGAAATTGGCAATTTGGCCAATTTCATGGAAATTAAAAAAAATGCCAATTTCAAAATAGGGTCCAGAATAAACAATGCAGACATTCTTGGCACTAAAATAACATATCCTCTCTTCATTAGTCACGTCTCCAAGCCCCCTTTCTATTTTGATTTTTTATTCTCACAAAAAAATAGAAGATTTACTTTTATGCAGACTACTGCATTATTGTAAAAATGATATAAATAATATCAGTGCACTAGTGAAAGAATATTAGACTCCCCAGTTGACGTGTATTGGACGTGTGGTGTGATTTGCTTACTCTTGAACCTTGGTAAAAATTGAACATTTCCGCTACTTTGAGCTCAATTTCAAGGTCGTTTTCATTGTGAAACTAATGAAAATCATCTCTGTATCTGTAATATGTTTTCCATTCTATCAAATGAGACCAAGAAAACGAGAATACAGCCATAAATATTCTACGAAAATACACCTCAAAGTTGGAGTTTTAATTCAAAAACACGGTCAGAGTTTTTTTTTTTCTCTCATTATGCACTGCATGTTGCAGGATTTTTTCATACAATGCACACTGACCACACAGACCCATTCTCTCACATGTGGGCCTATCAGCTTTCTCCTGCTTGATTTGAAGCCACTAGAATTATTGAGTTTATGTACGTCTGAAACACTGGCTCGTAAGACGTATATATACGGCCGAAACAGTTAAATGGTTAAGTGACGTTTGCAGCCTTTGATCCCCTAACCTGTACTCTGCCTGTGGTCTTCTTTGTCCTTCCCCAATCTCCATGACTTTGCACTTACTGAGGTTAAACTCCAGGAGCCATTTGTCGGACCAAACTTGTAGTCTGTCCAGATCCCCTTGTAATCTTAGCTGATCCTTGCCTGCTTGTATTCTCCTCATCAGTTTCACATCATCAGTTAACAGCGACACTTTTGAATCTATTCCTTCCATTATGTCATTCATGTATACAAGAAACAGCACAGGACCTAGGACTGACCCTTGTGGAACCCCACTCGATACATGCACCCACTCTGATACTTCATCACGTTCCAAGACTTGTTGTTTCCTTCTTGTTAGGTATTCCCTGATCCATTGCAGTACTACTTTCCCTACTATTCCTGCCTGCTCCTCTAATTTTTGCACCAATGTGGTGCTGTGTCAAAAGCCTTCTTGTAGTCCAAAAAATGCAATCTACCCATCCCTCTCTCATTTTTTTCTTTTACCTTATTGTAGAACTCGAGTAGATTTGTGACACAGGATTTCCCATCTCTGAAGCCATGCTGATGGTTATGTATGAGCCCAATCCTTTCAATGTACTCCACCACTCCTCTCCTGATCATCTTTCCCATGACTTTACATACTATACAATCAGTGAAACTGGTTTGTAGTTTAACGCTTCCTGTCTATCTCCTTTCTTAAAAATTGGAACTATATTTTCTGTCTTCCACGCCTCAGGCAGTTGCCCAGTCTCGATAGATTTATTGAAGATTTCTGCTAGCGGCATGCACAGTTCCTCTGCTCCTCTCAGGATTTATGGAGATGTGTTATCTGGGCCCACTGCCTTTGTGGTATCTAATTCACCTAGCAGTTTCTTAACCTTCTCCTTGGTTATGTGTATTGTGTTCAGCACCTGCTGGTGCATCTTACCTCCATGATTTGCTGGAAGCAAACTATCTCCAAATCTTGTGTTAAGGTCATCACATAATTCCTGGTCACTCCTTGTGAGCTCCCCTCCTTCTTCCCTCAGCTTGATTACCTGGTCCTTGACTGTTGTTTTTCTCCTAATGTGACTGTATAACAACTTTGGTTGAGATTTGGCTTTTGATGCTATGTCATTCTCGTATTGCCTCTGGGCATCTCTCCTTATCCCTGCATACAGTAAGGCCCTGCTTTACGTAATTCCTCTAATACGTACATTTTAAATTATGAACAAAACTCGCTATGCGGTTCTCCCCCACCTGACTTTCTAATACGGTCACCACGCCTCACCCGGTTTGTTTACATTCTCTGTGAGCACTGCGTCTCTCCATTATGTCTGGAAACTTCCCAAAATTTCAATTTTTTTTAAAAGTTATTTCATATTTTATATTTACTCTGATAATTATACCTATGTATACCTGTACCTAAATATACTTACGCACTTTGCTGGCATGCAGGTACACATTGAAATCAATAAGAGTGTCTTATGTCTCGAGATGCCATATTAGAAATAATAATAATACTTAGTAATCAGTGAGTCTCATTAAATGTCATATATTACATTAATATACATATTTTCATTAATCCATTTATGATATTTTTTTCAAAATTTGCACCAGTCAACTATAGTGATAATATAGCATTTATTGTGGTGGAGACGGAAAAAAAATAGAAAAGCTGGATACAGCGATTGATAAACAAGGGTGGAGGTCGACCGTTCGTCATTGTAGGAGTTGCCAGCAGTCACCGGCTCTTCAACACGCAAGTTATACTTTTGTATCAATCAAATCACAGATTACTCGGGTAGATAATTTCCAGTAGATCCTTCATGTGCTAGCTCAAATCACCGACCAGTATGTTTTAAATAAGTGACCCACTGATCAGATCAGATCGACTGGTCCGAACCCTTGACTGGTCCGAACCCTTGACTGGTCCGAACCCTTGACTGGTCCGAACCCTTGATGGTCCGAACCCTTGACTGGTTTCAAACGGTTTCGTTGGACAATAAAGCAGACTGTAAACGGATGGGGTTGTAGGCGTCCTTATAAACACAAACATTAAATATAATTCAGGAACGTGATGGTAAGCTGTCCAATATACAAAAACAGTTAGAAACAGAAATACAAATAGCTAGAGCTTCATTTAAGGAGGTTATTAATAGAATATTCAAGAGGTTGCTAGGAGAATTGCAGTAAATCAACCATTCAAATCATTATGAAGCTCTGTGTAGTCTGTGGTCAGTCAAACAAACGGGCTTCCACATGGAAAAATTTTGTCATTTTTGTGGAAATTGGTGTCACGCCCCTTGTGCAGATATCCAAGAACTAGCTACAAGCAGTATTAAAACAGGGAAGTGTTTTTGGGTATACCCAAATGAGGAAAATCTGTGGACTAAAATCACAAGGGTATTAAAAGAGGACAACATCAAAGCTGCTTTCATAGAAAACCTGGAAGCTTTCTACAACAGATGGGAACATAAAAAGTCTGGGCTGAATGGTACTGCCGTTGATACTGGCCATGTAGTCACAAACCGTAAGGATGGAGGTAATGTCCTGGTAGTCAGTAAATGTGGGGCTGATAGTGCTGTCCTTGGAGACAGTAATGGTGAAGCTGGAGTGCTGTCCTGGGAGACAGCAATGTGAAGCGGAGGTGCTGTCCTGGAGACAGTAATGGTGAAGCTGGAGATGCTGTCCTGGGAGACAGTAATGGTGAAGCTGGAGATTTTGTCCAGGTAGTCGGGAATTATACGCAGAAAGGAATACATATAAGTGACCTCATAGGGGACAGGAGCCATAGTAGGGAAACAAGTGTAGTCAAAGATAAGATAAAACCAATATTGCAAACTAGAAATACCGCAGGAAATAGCAAACAAGAGGACTCCAATAGCAATAGTGAGGATATATTACCAAAAACAACTGGTGGGAGCTCCATTGTTGGTGCTAGGGAGGATAGAAGTAAGACAGGGAAACATGCACCAACAGGGAATACAGTCACAGAAACCCAAGGCAAGCGGAAACCAAGCCTGTGCACATACTATGCACTTGGTATCTGCTGGCATGGGAAATCTGGAAAAACAGATGG